GATTTTTGAGCAATTGAGTTCAGTGAATCGAGTTGGGTTCGATGGAACCTATTTGCTGGGTTACATCAAACCCAGATCTGCTGAGTTCTGTCGAACTTTAATCTTGAAAATGGAAAGAACACCGTTTATGGAAAGAGGAAAAACAGTAACAGATGAAAATGGAAAGAACACCATTTATGGAAAGAAAAAAAACAGTAACCGATGGGTTAGTGGTGATGTGGGACCCATTTAGATGGATTTGGTGTGATTTCGCCAGGTAGCATGTGACATGGCAGAAGTTTTAAGTTTTGTTCTCCACATCATAAAAAAAAAAAAAAATGCCACCTAAGCAAGGTTAACGGCACAAATTAACAGAAGGACTAACAGAATGCATTTTGTATAGTTGAGGGATCAAAAAAGTGCAAAAAATTGTTGAGGGATCAAAAATGTGCATTTCATAAAGTTAAGGGACCAAATTAAGCATTTAACCTTTGAAATTAAAAGTCTTAAAATTGAGTATTCTTTAAACATTTAAGTTATCTCAATTTTTAAAAATTATATATAAAGATTTGGATGAGTGATTGTAGCCAATGTTCAACAAACAAAGAGCAAGAATAAGCCCGGTTAAACTTGTGTTTTTCAACTGGTGTTGAAAGCTTTTAAACCTTTCTTATTATTTGAGCTGTGGCGTGAACTTTTAGAATTTGAGTTTTAAGCGCTTCAATTAAGCATTTTAGAGGGATTTAAATAGTTTTAATTTCATATAAGAAAATTTTTAATTTGTATATTTAAAATACATGTTAAAAGCACTTTTTCATCATAAATATGTATACAAAAATAAAAAAGATTGACAATTAAAAAAAATAAAAGAGTAACCCTTCAAATACTCCATAGTATTTACTATGGAGTTTTAACCTTTTCAAATAAAATTCCCTTTTTCTAAATTTAATTTAGTTTAGTTAATTTTTTAATTCAAAACTAATTGAAAATTTTAAACTCAAAATAAAACAATAATCAAATACTAAGGAGTACTAAACTAACTCGATTAATCTCTGAGGCAACTTGAAACCATTTCTCTACTCTTTCTTCCATTTAAAAAAAAATTATTTTATTTTTACGTTTTATTTGTTAAATGAGACGGAGGAAGGATTGTGCTTGGTTGGATCAGGCCTTCTATGTCCCAATAAAATAGCCGAAAGGGCTTTGTTTACAGTAAGCCCAATAGAATGGCCTATAAATCTGTACCCTGCACCAGAACCGTCCGATTTTGGTCTCTTCTAAGTTCTATATCACAGCCGCCCGATTGGATGACTACTCAATCCATTTCCTCTCGGCATTAAAAATGCACCGGAAAGTACGAGAAGCGATCCAAACAAACCCAGATCCAGATTAGGGTTAAGGCCATCTATCGTCCCTCTACTAACAAAAATAGTGCATTCTAAACCTTCTACTATGGATTGGCTTCATGTCGTCCCTCTACTATTAATTAGATCTATCTGTCGTCCCTCTACAATGCAAAAGCGTACAAGTGTCATCCCTCCGTCCAATTGAGCTAACGGTCCTATTTCTTTATCGTTAAGTGGAAACGGTCCTCCCCGATTAGGCCCTTTTTTAGTTTTTTTTTTTGGCCACCTTACCTTGTGGACCCCACCCTTGCCACATA